AATTTACATGAATAAAGTGAAAAATTGAAGTGCAAATATGCGGCCTGAAGAGACCAGCTTTAATGTCTGTTTTTCCATTTTGTTAAATAGTCGAGTTTTTGTGACTTCAAGTCTGAGGGTCTAGAGGGTTCAACAGAAAATGTCTCTTACCAACGGGATGAGCTGATTTGTATAACGGATAAGGTCTGTCAAATAGTTTTCCTTGGTTTCCTTTTGCCTTCTACATGGACCACGGTAGAAGCTTCGCCGTTCCCAAATGGTTTTGTCTGATGCATACGTGCCCCGGGCAAGGACAAATATGGAAAGGCGTGCATCTCCTGCTGGTGACATAGTGCGTCTATACTTCTCTTGGCAGTACTCTGGAAAGCATTTTGTTACGAGACTTTCCGCACTTTTTTCATTTAATGCTCCATTCACCGTATGTTTTTTCATTACACACGTGACAAAAATTGCATTAATTTCATTATGCATGAGGACTGGTCCTGATATGACAGAGATGGTGCAGCAACGATAGAAAAGCCTATGAAGTCAGGGACATGGCGAGCTTCCTTTGAACGAAAATAGAAAAGGGGCAGAAGCGATAAGTTACATAAACTTGTGAAACAGCTATGTTTTCGATCCCAACACCACAACGCCTTCGATTTATCGACCTTAAACTTGGTTAATTAAATCCAGTAATGGTCTTCAGAAATAACCATGAAATAACAAAAGCAACGAAAGCATAGAATACTAGCGTACATGACCAGCGCATAGAAAAGCGCAAAAGAGGGTTGCGAGACTTTTTATCCTAGGGCGAATTCTGCCCTTTTGGAGCAGTTCGCGCGCGGCTACTAACTCGTTCACATTTAATTTGAGTTTATCTTGATTCTGAGTGAAATTTAGGCAAGCGGTGGAAATGGGTGACCTGTTCTTCCTTACGGTAGGTAGTCTTGCACCCGCGGAAGAGCAGTGAGGAGAAAATATGGATTGAACAAGTAAAACATACAAAACACATGTCGGCGCGCAACTGAATTTGCGAACGACCGTGCATTATATATGCCTTGCGCCTGCACTACTGTTCTCACAAGCTGCTATCACGGCTAGTTCATTCGCTTACAGAATCAACATTATGTATAATTGAAAACTTCTCAGATCACTTCAGCGACATCACAACGATGAAAAAAATCAAAAATACGCCAAAGGATG